TACCAAGGATCAATCACTTTACGTCGGTAAATCTCACGCCTATGTTTCTAAACGCATATTTATAATAAAGGTATGCATCATTTTGCTTCCTCTTCAACCTAAATTTATTTCTTGAGTAACGTAAATCGGTTCCTTTTTGTTTCCTTCCTCGCCCGATTACTCTACATTGATCTTAAAAAACAAGTAAATAAATAATAGCAAAATTTTATTATCGTTAAGGCTACGCATTTTGAGCGTTAAGCCACTTCAGTCATTCCTTTTCCCCGCTGCTGCGTGAACTTTAGAATTTGCAAGTTACCTTTTTGCATGCTTGTTCAAGTAAATAAATGCGATATTTTTGCATGCAAGGGAAAATCTAATCATATGATATATTCCAGATAGAATCTGTGTTAAATCTGGAAAACATTCACCCATCTAAAAATATAAGTAAATTTATCCAAAAAGGGAATGCCCTCTTTGCGATACATGTAGTATATATAATATTTGACAGAAATTTGTAAAGTATATGACAGAAGTTTGGATTCTACAACAGAAGAGGATCAAGAGGATGGAACTGCTTATCTTCTTCTAGAGTTTGGGTTATTTGATTAGGGCAAAGTAATCGAGGGCTATCTGCCTAGACGGAGGAATACTTTCATTGAGGACTTTCTAAGGATAACTGGCTCGCATACCCGTTTTATATTGAAAAGCCACAAAACCATGCAGCCAGCCCGTTCCCAGGATTCAAACCTCGGATCGAACTACCAGTGTTCAGCGATTCTAGTTAGCTCTCGGCCGCTGGTGGGCTATTTTTTTTCCTTAGATCAAGCAGTGTTATATTTTAACAATCATCTTTGGTTAAGCATAAGCACAGAACACATAAATTTTAACATAGGCATAGGATAACAAGACTGTCAGATAACTTTTGAACCAAGATATATGTGAGTAATAATTGTTGCGTAATAAGTCCTTTTCTTAATATACATAACCTTGTAAAGTATTTTATGTTAATTAACATAAATTATTTTTGAGCCAAACTAAAGGATTATGATCGGTCATGACGAGGAATTTAGCATGCCCTCTAAATAATACTGCAGTTTCTTTACAGCGAATGTTATGGCGCATTCATTTTATGTTGTTAAAGTTGTTTTGTCATTTTATGTTGTTAATTTTTCCAGTTTCTGTTAACTTCTTAATAAGGTATAATACTGGATGTTCATTGTCTCGTTTACCTTTCTGAGTTAAAGTAACACCCATACCAGATTTTGAAGCATCAGTTTATAAAATAAACTTCTTATTGAAATCAAGTGTAGAAAACTAAATAATAATGTAAAAGACTAAATAGTGGTACAATTATTTGCTTTCTTCAAATCGTTTTTTTTTTTTTTTTTCTCAGAAGCTAATCCTGAAGTTCGTATATGCATGATCCAAAGACGATAATAAATATTGTAAGATAAAAATTAGTAATTATTTGATTATACATGTTTATCTTTCTTTGTTTAGATGGATGTTTTTCTTTGCATTTAACAGAATTATAAACTCCATGAACATAAACAACAGATAAAACAAGATGAACAACAGATATTAAAAGCTTAATTCAAAGATTTTTTAAAAGTTATGTCTTCTAATGCAATTAAAATTTATTAAAATTCAGCCACTGTTATCTGAGGGATTCCATAAATTGAAGTGTGTAATTAGAGGAACTGCAAACTAACATACTTAACTCACTACGTTGTAAATAGCCGAGGCCTGTATGCTAACAATACAAATACGATTCACTAAAAACGCAGATCGGAGGCAGATTTGAGGCTATTTACTGAAGTGTTACAACAGCTCCCTCTGCAAAGCATAGACTGCCTAGCTCTTTTAATTCATTTTATATTCTGGTAATAAGTAGCGGGAGAAATAGAAGACAGAGGAAAGAAATCAACATAAAAATAATGTGTTAGCTAAATAAACCTTACAGGGAAGGCGTATAAACTAGGTAATCGTAAACATCGCGCTGCTGCAGTATTTTCTGCATAAAGGAAAAATACATACAAATTTATCGTTATTTATTTGCGTTTTTGTTTAATCAAAATGTGGCAACCCTCCTTATCGTAACATTTATACCTTTGGAAAATGAAAAAAGAACATTTTTGTTAGGAGCTTATTACCTTTATTCTAGTCGTACATTTGCAGCGTAATAAAAATAAATGAATACTTTCGAACAGGTGCCGAAAGAGTAATTAAGTGAAAATCATCTCTCACAAATCACGGAGAATGCTTACCATGTAATAAAGATGTGCGTTCATTCTGTTATGCATGCGAAAAGAAATATTTTATCACAGCTATAAATATAATTTCTTTATCGGAGATTAATGAAGATGGATTAGGTTCCACATCAAATGCTTTTAGCTTATGCTTGCGTTTTATTTATTAATAATTCTCTTTCATTTTGGATAAATATTTGCAATTAATTTCATTTTCGGGTCTGTAAATGCTGCAGATGGATTGATCCTTAATTTTCAGTTATGTTAAGGCTACATGAATGTAAATATTGCACGTTTTGTAAGCGTTTTATTAATATCAATTTTGTTACTGTAACCTACGATATTTTTAATTACGCCAGTTTAATTTTTTAATCGGGAAATAATATTTAATCTGTTTATGTTTACTCAGAAAGGAAAGTTACTGAAAGATGAAATATTCACGTTTGTATTCTAAGGATGGGGAGTAAGATATCGCCTAAGCTTATCTTGCTCATACCAATTAGTGTGGTCGGATGGCGGAACAAGATAAATAATGCAACAAAATTTTGCTTATCGTATAGCTTCTTTATATTGCCTAACCTTATCTTGCTCATACGAATTAGAGTGGTCGGATAGCAAATAAGATAAATACTGTTATAAAAGTTTCGCTCATCGCATAGCTTCTTTATAACGCCTAACCTTATTTTGCTCATATGAATTAGAGTCGACGGATAGGGGGATAAGATGAATAATGTTGCAAAATTCGGCTTTATCGTATAGCATCTTTATATCCTCTTACCTTATGTTGCTCATACAAATAGGTCGGATGGGAGAGTAAGATAAATAATGTTACAAAATTTGACTTATCGTATAACTTCTTTATATCGCCTAACCTTATCTTTTTCATACGAATTAGAGTGGTCGGATGAGGCAATAAGATAAATAATGTTAAAAGTTTGGCTTATCGTATAGATTCATATTGCCTAAACTTTTTTTGCTCATAAGAATTAGAGTGGTCGGGTATGGAAGAAAGTATAATAATGTCATCAAACTTGGCTTATCGTATAGCTTCTTTATATTGTTAATAAACATATATTGTTTAGTATTTTTTGTTACCAAACGATTTACTACTGTGTCTTTGCAACAACAGATGGCGTTGCTGCCTGATGGTTCAATTCTGGTTGCTATGGTAACGAACTTACAACTCATAATTTATGTGATTTGTATTCTATTCTTTTTTGTTTTATTAATTGCTACTGTGCTTGGAGTGATGTGAGCTGTGTCGTCACGTGGACGGCATTCCTTCTATTTCAAAGCGTTATGTAAAATATACTAGTGATAATTACAGTCCGCTTACCTTTTTTTCTGAACTTATTCTTATCATTTCTGGTCCTAGCGACCGGAGAGAAGAGTTAGCGATCTTTGGATATGATGTGATTTATTCAAATATTAGCAAGTTAAATCACTTTCGATTTGTGGATTAATAAACAGCTTAGTGTTCTTTCGATTCGATTTGTGGATTATGCGTGTGACATCTGTGGTGAAATCAGTTTCGTTTTGTGGAATATTCTCGTGGTATGGTGTAGCGTAGAAACCTCAACATTGGGGTGAGTACGTTCCAATATTTCATCTTCTTTTGCTAGAGTTGTTAGTATAATATTTATTGTTATTCATAATGGCTGATTTGAAACCAGTTTTAACTAAAAAGAAGGTTCTAAAAAGCAATATAACAACGTTTAAAGGCAAGGTAAATTCGAATTTAGAACAAGCAGAAATTTTAGAGGTAAAGTTGTTCGAAACGAAACTAAATGCTTTTAACAGTGAGCTTCGTTCTATTTATGAGGAAATATTTTTGTTGTGTCCTGAAAAAGATTGTGATACATTCATTACGGAACAACAAACAATACAAGAAACTTTAGATGAATTATGGATAACTATAAATAAAAAGTTACAGAAACTTTCCAGTGACTCTGTTATCGAAACAAGTAGTGTAGCAAAAGTAAATTCGTCTGACGTTCGATTACCAAAATTAGAACTTTCTACCTTTACAGGGGAAAATATAGATGAGTGGATTAGTTTCTATGATCTTTTTAAGGCTAGTGTAGATAACAATCCGAATATTTCTAAATGTCAGAAGTTTCAATATTTAAAGGCTTCTTGTAAAAAAAAAGGCTCTGTCTATTATTGAGTCAATTCCTATTTCTGATGCTAATTATGATATAGCGTTGCAACTTTTACAGGAACGTTATTCTAATAAAAGAGAATTAACTAATGCATTAATCCGTAAAATGTTTAATTTGCCAAATGTTTCTGATTCAGCTCAAGCTATTTTACATTGTGTTGATGTAGTGAATGAATGTATACGCTCTTTGAGAACTCTTAAGCTAGAAGTTTCTGATCTTTCTGATGTTCTTTTTGTTTATCTGATAACTGAGAAATTAGATAAAAACATAAAATTTTGGTGGGAAAGAACTTTGAAAAAAGATGAATTAGGTAGGTACTTTAGATAATTTACTCGAGTTTCTAAAAGACCACGCTAGAACCCTTCAGAATAGTAGAAACCAATCTAAAGATTTTAGGAAATTTTCTAATTCCAAATTAACTTCTTTAGTGTCGAGTAAAAACAGTTGTATAATGTGCAAGGAAGATCATTCTCTTCACAAATGTGGTAAGTTTTTAAACTTAAGTGTCCAAAAAAGAATCGAATTTGTTAAGAAACACAAACTTTGTTTTAATTGTTTATCTTCTCAGCCTCATTTAGTGAAAAACTGTCGTAGTTTACATAAATGTATGACGTGTAAGTTACCTCATCATACTGTTCTTCATTTTGATCGAAATATCAAAACTAGTGAAAATGAGAAACCAAAACAAACGTCCTCACTCTCCCCCAAAGCCGAAGTGTTCTTACCAAAGAATGAAGTCGTTACAAATGCCACAACATGTACAGGACAATTTAGTTATTCTAAAGGTGAATCAAAACGTGTATTACTGTGTACTGCTCTCATTAAAGTTAGTGATTCCAATGGTAAAGCCATCCCTTGCAGGGCTTTACTAGACTGTGGCAGTGAAGCCAGCTTTATAAGTGAAGAGTGTGTCAGTAAACTAAAGTTAGGTAGATTTAACAAAAAAATTGAAGTATCGTGCCTTGGTTCGTTCAACACTGTAACAAGTGGAGAAGTGGAATTAATCTTTACCCCGCACTTTGAGTCAAATTCCAAATTTCGAACATATGCATTCGTGATTCCAAGGATAACTTCAGATGTGCCTAACGTGTCGCTTCCTTCTAAAATTGCGAATCATTTTGACGATCTAGTCTTAGCTGATCCTAAGTTCTATGAAAGAAAACCTATAGATATTTTGTTAGGTGTAAATGTATTTTTTACTATGCTTAAGGGAGACATCATAAAGAGAGGAGAATCATTACCCTTTGCAATTTGTTCTCAGTTGGGTTGGATCATTTCCGGGAACACTATTACTGATGATTCGAATCTAACTAACACTTTTACAGTGAATAATCTTCAGTTGAATACAAACGAATTAGTTGAAAGATTTTGGTCTTTAGACTCCATTCCGGAAGTCAAACGTATTTCAAGTGAAGATAAAAAATGTGAAGAGTTCTTTAAAACAACACACTTCCGTGATCAAAATGGTCGTTATGTAGTGAAACTTCCATTTAAAGATAACCCTTCAAGGTTGGGTAATTCTAAAGATCTTGCTTTACAAAGATTTAAATCTTTAGAGAGAAATCTCTTAAGATCTCCTGATACATATGATATGTATAAACATTTCATGAAGGAATACTTGGATCTCGGGCACATGGAACCAGTCCGTAGTTCAGAGTCCCCAAGTCAGGCATACTACATGCCACATCATGCAGTAATTAAGGAATCTAGCTCTACGAGTAAAATACGTGTGGTATTTAATGCTACTAGTAAGTCTTCATCAGGACTGTCTCTTAACGACATATTGATGACAGGTCCCAGAATACAACAAGAGCTGTTTCCAGTTTTGGTCAAATTCAGATGTTACCCAGTAGTTGTCACAGCTGATATCATGAAAATGTTTAGACAAATTCTAGTTAATGAAGAGGATAGAAACTTTCAAAGGATATTTTGGCGGGACCATCCAAGTGATCCTATTCAAGAATTTCGACTTAATACTGTCACATACGGCACTGCCTCGGCTCCATATTTGGCTACTCGTGTTTTTATACCAACTTGCCTACGATGAGCAGAATAACTATCCTTTAGCTTCGAAGGCTGTACTTCAAAACTTTTTTGTAGATGATTGTTTGGTAGGTGCTCAAAACACTGAAGAGTGCAAAAATCTAGTAAATCAACTCTTGCAAATGTTAGAACGTGGAGGATTTCTTCTGCGTAAATGGTCATCCAATGACTTGTCAGTGTTAGAGAATATACCCCAGGAGTTGAGAAATGATTCTGAGGCTATGAAAATTCAAGACGATAGCTCAATCAAAGTTTTAGGAATTAATTGGAACCCCCGTGAAGACTACTTTAACTTTTCCGTATCCATTTCTGGTGAAAAGTTTAAATACTCTAAAAGAGATATCCTTTCTGATTTAGCGAAAATATTTGACCCATTGGGTTGGCTTGCTCCTTGTATTATTTATGTCAAAATCTTGATACAAGACATGTGGAAACTCCATTTATCGTGGGATGAACCTGTTAGTGATGAGATTGCTAACAAATGGAAGATTTTCCGAAATGATTTACATCTTATTCAACAATTAAAAATACCGAGATTTGTTTTGATTCCTGACGTGAACTATATTGATATCTGTGCTTTTTGTGATGCCTCCGAGAAAGGCTACTGTGCAGCAATTTATTTGCGTTCAGTGTCACGTAATTTGGACATCAAAGTAGCACTCTTAACATCAAAAACAAGAGTTGCCCCTCTGAAAGTGCAGTCATTACCTCGATTAGAGTTATGCGCCGCAGTTTTTTTTAGTGAATTTGCTTAAATCAGTGTTAGAACATTTAGAGTTTCCTATACGTAAAGTTTTGGCCTGGACAGACACAACTGTAGCACTGTCCTGGATTTCTGCAGAACCATACCGTTGGGTTCCCTTTGTTGCAAACCGCGTTGCTAAAATACAGAATACAATTCCTAATGTAAGGTGGAACCATATCAATGGAAAGCGGAACCCAGCTGATTCAGGTACAAGAGGAATGTTTCCAGCAGAATTTCTGAAGTGTGAAGCGATGGTTCATTGGACCTACTTGGTTATATTCACAAGATTTCGAACCATGTCCTGACAGTGAACATCTTTGCTGATGTAGATTATGAAGGAGTTCGTAGAGAAGAAAGAAAAACTTGCATTTCAGTATCTTGTGCGGTAAAGGAAAATGACATTTTTAAACGGTATTCATCTTGGACAAAATTACGTCGTATAGTTGCATTATGCCTAAGATTTATTTACAACTGTCGAAACTTCTCCGAAAATCGTTTGAGAGGTTTTCTGACAACCGATGAGCTTCGATTAGCTACAAAAACAGTGATAAAAAATGTCCAAGAATCATATTTTCCTCAAGAGCTCTCTTATTTAAAAACATCGAGAGAATTAAAAGGTGTGAGCAGCCGAGTAATACAATTAACTCCCTTCCTTGATGAAGAAGGCGTCATTCGAGTAGGTGGTCGCTTAAAAAATGCAAACATTCCTGAAAATAGCAAACATCCTATTTTGCTTCCAAAGGAAGGACATGTCACTAATCTCATCGTAACTCATTACCATGTCAATTATTTGCATGCTAGTCAAGAGTTATTAATAAGCACTTTACGAATGCAGTTTTGGATTCTTTCGGTGAGAAGCGTAGTGAGAAAGATTATTCACAGATGTATTCCTTGTATTAGAAATCGAGGCAAGACTGTGACCCAGATAATGGGTGATTTACCCTCGCCCAGAGTTCAACCATCAAGACCTTTTGCAGTCACCGGTGTTGATTATGCTGGTCCATATTCTATTAAGTCCCAAGTTGGGAGAAGAACAAAAACTTTCAAGTGTTACGTATCCATTTTTGTGTGTTTCTCAACAAAAGCTGTACACTTGGAGTTAGTCAGTGATTTATCAACTTCAACGTTTTTAGCAGCTCTAAAAAGATTTATCGCCCGACGAGGCAAACCATCTAAAATTTCGAGTGACTGTGCTACTAACTTCAAAGGTGCTAGTAAGGAACTGAAGGAGATTTATAAAAATGCAGCTCGCATTGAGAAAAGCAGTGAATTATGTGACTACATTACCTCAGAAGGTATAACTTGGTTATTTAATCCTCCGACATCTCCTCACTACGGTGGCTTGTGGGAATCTAATGTGAAATCCATGAAATTTCATCTTAAACGAGTATTAGGATCCACACTTCTAACTTACGAGGAATTTTTAACAGTGCTTACACAAGTGGAAGCGTGTATGAATTCCCGTCCTCTTTGTGCGATGTCTAGTGATCCAAACGACTTTAGTGCATTGACTCCAGGTCATTTTCTGATTGGAGCCCCTTTGCTTGCCATTCCGGAATCTGACTTGAGTGATGTGAAATCTTCACGACTTAAACGTTGGTCTCTAGTTCAACAGACTGTGCAACATTTTTGGAAACGATGGTGTGCAGAATATTTAACAACACTTCAACAACGTGCTAAGTGGTTTCGTGCGTCTCCAAATCTAAAATGTGGTGATTTAGTTCTGATCAAAAACGAACAACTGCCTCCAAACCAATGGAAAATTGGAAGAATTGCCTTAATTCATCCAGGTAGTGATAAAAAAGTTCGAGTGGCTACAATCCATACAGCCGCTGGTGATTTCAAACGAGCTGTTACTAAATTGTGTCTTATCCCCAATCATGACTAATATGAACTATGAACTATTGACTTTTTTCATATTATTGAACTTTAATTTTAGTTATATTTTCAATTAATTTTTTTGTTTGTTAATGTTATTATGTATGCTTTAACTATTTGTCTTTTTTGAACTCTTAGAAGGCTTCAAGGCCGGGGCTATGTTTAGTATTTTTTGTTACCAAACGATTTACTAGTGTGTCTTTGCAACAATAGATGGCGTTGCTGCCTGATAGTTCAATTCTGGTTGCTATGGTAACGAACTTTCAACTCATAATTTATGTGATTTGTATTCTATTCTTTTTTGTTTTATTAATTGCTACTGTGCTTGGAGTGATGTGAGCTGTGTCGTCACGTGGACGGCATTCCTTCTATTTGAAAGTGTTATGTAAAATAAATTAGTGATATTACAGTCCGCTTACCTTTTTTGTGAACTTATTCATAACACATATATTAACCTTTTTTTGCTCATATGAATTAGAGGAGTGGGTAGGGAAGTAAGATACATAATTTTATAAAATTTGGCTTATCATATAGCTTCTTTATATCGCCTAAGCTTATCTTTCTCATACCAATTAGTGTGATCGGATGGCGGAGCAAGATAAATAATGTTACAAAATTTGGCTTATCGTATGCCTTCTTTATAATGCCTAACCTTATCTTACTGATATGAATTAGAGTGGTCTGAAATAGAAGTATATACAGAATAAACTTCAGTTAACAGACTCAGAGATTAAATTCAACAAAATGTTTCTTTTTGCTATTTCTATACTATAAACTAAAAACTCAGTATTAGTAAAACATGTCAATTTTTAGTTGAGGGGGTTGCAATTAAAACGGCACCCAGTGATGTAAGGTTTCAAAACGCTTCTGAATTGAAATATCAACAAAGATCAACCTCTGTCACTCCACATTACTAAATGTTAGTTACCCTCGCTATTTAAAGTTAACCTAATGACTAAAAAATAACGGCTTAATTAAACACATCTTTCAATATAAATTATTCAAGAAATATGATCGAATTGGTTTCATCGAATTTGGTTTGGGAAGATCAAATTTGGTTTCATAAACTGTGTTAAGGTTGTAGAGCCATTAGGTAATTTTTGGAAGCAGGAGACTTGAAAAATGAGCAATGCCTTCGCCGGGAGTCGAACCACGGACCTCTGGAATGCAGACCACTACACTACGAAGGCACGCTAAGAAGGCGGGAGAAATACCTTATAAGGTCTCTCCAAAAGGATATTGTCATTGGAATGTTTATCGCAAGAATTTTATTATTAAATTATGTGGCCTTCTTAACGGCTATGAATTTTAAGTCATTAAGAGCATTTCTGCGGAAAGAAAAGTACCAAAGTAAAGTCGCTTCGTCGTTTGCCACGAGACAGAATTATTGATTTGAAAAGTGTTAGTAGCTTTGAACGATTTTAATAATTCAAATAATATCAAAATACCAATGGCCATCTTAAGGGGACACGGGACGTTTAAATGAAAAATTCTTACTTTTTGTTCAAACTTTAAAATATTTTTCAGTTATGTGTATTGTGCATGTATTTACCGAAATATACAATTTTATAATGATAGAGGTAAATTTTTTCAAAAAAAAAGTAAAATAATTTTATGCATTTTTACGTTTTTATACTTATATTCATATAGCCCCTTGCGCATAAAAATTAATCAGAAACCTACAATAATTTTCCTAATGAATCTATATCAAATAATAAATAAAACTGGGCATGCATTTTAAAATAGGATGAAATATTATTGAAAAATAAATTATTTATTAATTTTTTCACAATTTTTTGAATTTTTATGGGTCGTTATTTTACGGAAAGCCTAACAATTCCTAGAAAAGTTCATCAATAGTAAAATGGATGCACAGTTCTCTTATGAATAGTATTGGAATGATATAAATCAAGTATGAAAATAGTTCGAGAACAATTAAAACGCAAGAGATAAATTCAGTACTCAAAATTTTCAAAAATCTGAAATCCGTGGAAACACAATATAAAGATTTACTTTTGCTTACATACCTGAAAATGACTTATAAATGCTTCTGCATTCTATTATATTACTACTTCATTTATTAGTTCTTTCTCAGCTCAATTTTGTTCATTTGGTTTAAATAGATCAATTTTATGTGCTATGCTCTGTAGACAAGCATAACACACGGTACATCACGTAGACTTGTATTTATTTGCTAACCTACTTTTACCTATATTTCAAATATTATTGTCTAAATTTTTTTTTAGTTATTCTGCATAGCATTGCAAATACAATATTATATAAATGAAATGGATTTAATCTATTCAAGTCTTTGATTGATTGCACAATGGCAATTTGAAACAAAAGCGCGTCAAACTCTTTCTAAATATTGGTAGAGGACA